GACTATTATTTATCATTAAAATTACCCATTTTCTTCTTTGATGGGGTGCGAAAGCACCAGCCAAGAAGGGAAAAATGTGTAAAGTATATATTCATAAACCATTGAAACCTATGATGTTTACCTGTGTGTACAGAAACTATCGCTTATTTTCATTCCTATGCGTTTCCAACTCTTAAAACAAAAGTTACGAATATTAATAGTACTTTGGTGTTAATCTATAATATCCTCATTATTTAACATGCCATTATTTATGATGACACCTTGCTAACTCTACATTGGTTATCCATTTTTAGTACTGTATTAGAGACCATTTATATGAACATTTTGATGCCCAAATAATCATTTTTTGTCGGACTAGAAGACGGGCATCACCCCAGAATGTGGAAGTCTTGCCTTTGGCTCGATACCACAGTCCCCCTCCATTGTGTTTCTTTGTTGTGGTGAGGGAGCTCACGTACACCTCTCTGGGACCGGTGAGGGCTGCCTCCGCCCCCTTTCCTGTCCCTCTTTGGGAGTTGTATGTGCGAATGAACACAAACGTAGGGCTCTTGTGAGTCAACGGACCACCCGCTGGAGGGGTCGCCCGTGAGTGGCTGCCCAAAGTGGATGGCTGGGTGTCCAAGCTGTGACAAAAGGTAGAATGAGGTCTTTGCACCAGTGTACGAGAATGGACAAAGCAGTAGGACTCTCCTGTTAAAAAAAAGGGGAGCACTGCTGGGGACAGCGCATTGCACTGGCCTGCGCTTGGCCTCCCAAGCTGCCCTAGTAGGTGGTATCCCTTGATTCCATGCCCCAGACCTTTTAAAATACATGATATAAGGATACTGACACGACTTCTTTTATCCAGGCTCATCGGGTGGGCGACCAGGCCCCTGAGTGGGACTGTGATGGAAGGTCGGGCTCTGTAGCCCCCACTACATTGGGCCCAGACCGGACTACTCCCCTCGCTCCCCTCCTTCCTCTGTGGCAAGGTCGAGTCTCAAATCCCCCAGTGGTGACCACCTTGTCCCCTGACACGGCCCCATCTCTCATTGTGACTACTGCGCCTTTTAACCCCTTTCTCTCTCTCTCTGGGGGTTCTCGACGCCGTCCCCGACATGGCCGCACTCGCACGAGCGTAGCCCTCATCCTGTAACTACACTTGGGTAATTACGATCCCTTCCCATACTAATACATGCCACACCTCATTTGGTCCTGCTACATGGGCCAAATACTTTGATTTACACATCTGGATTCTTCTACTCCTGACGATTTCTCATTCCATAAACACCTTGTTGATTCAGCAGATGCCTCTTACTATTAACCCCACCCGTCCTCGGTACTCGTGTTGTCGCTGCTCCTTCTGAGGATACAGCTATCTGCTTAGTCACATTGTCCTGCATTAGAGAGACCCCTGTGCGGGTCTCCAAAAATGCTCGGTTAAATGCCAGTGTTGGCACTGTTCTCCCGCACCATTTTGCAACTGGTGTTAGGGAACTAAATGACTGCCATGAGGATATTAAACATATCCTCTAAGCCCAAGGCCATTCTGTCCTCCAGGTGGACACGTTCACTCGACCTCCTCGTGGTCGTCGCCATCAGCCCCTTCGAGTTGTGAAAATCACCTTCGATAGTAGGACCCTTCCACCCTCTATAATTCTTGCTGGTGCCAGGTGCTCCATTCAGGAGTACATTCCCTCTCCTAGACTTTGCAATAAGTGCTGGAAGTTCGGGCATGGTGCCCTCAAATGCACAAATACTGTGTATTTATACCCCATGTGTGGGGACGACCACTCTAAGTCCGAGTGCTCTTCTCTCCAGGCTCGCTGCCTCAATTGCGGTGAGGCCCACCCTACTTTCTCCCGCTCGTGTATACACTACAAACTTGAGGAAGCTGTCCTCAACTTGAAACACCGGGATCGTCTGTCTTTTCCTGAAGCGAAACGCCAAGTTCACCGTCTGACCCCTTTTGGTGGGTCGGTGGTGTATCCTATGCTTGCGTCTTACGTTCTACCGCTCCTCATCCTTCCCACCTTACTCAGTCTCACAACCGTTTTCAGGCCTTAGACCCGGATATGCCCACCGCCGCCTCCCCGTTTCTGTACGTTCTGACCCGAAGGGGGCCCCCCTCCTGGTTCTCCATCTGGAGTTTCCCCACTTCCTACGCAGTCTGCTATGTCTCCTGTGTCTTCTTTCCCTTCTTTCCCCGATCCTTCTTCACATCCCTCCCTCTAAGTCTCTTGGCCCTCCATGCTGCCTGTCTTTCCAGGCTGATGTCCATCATCCTTTCAGCAATCTCCATGTTGTTCACCCCCATTCATCTTCTGTTGAGACAATTGAGTCTGTTGCCCAGTACGTTGTTGCTGGAACACCTGTCTCGCTGAGCCAGAAACATAAGCCTGCCTCCTCTCCTTCATCCTCCCCTGCGGTAAGAAGGCATCGCTCTCTTCCTCGCCCCCAACCTCTGGCTCTCACTCCGTCCCCTCCCATTTCGGTGGTCGGGCCCCCTGTACCAGCTGTGGAGGTTTCTTTAGCCCCTGATTCCCTCGCAGTTCCTGCTCTTGCTGGAACCGTGAAGGAATCAGCAAGAGCTTGCCGATTCCCGGTTACTGACCCCCCCCTCCTGCTGGGCCTTGACCGCCCCTCTCGGTTGTCTCCTCTGGATCCTACCCATCTGTCTCGTAGTCTGTCCTGCTTCCTTCACTCCATCCTTACTCAGTTTACCCATGCCCCCTAACCCTGACTTCACTGATCCTGATCTTATTTAATATGCTGTGTTCTTTACCTTTCTTTCTTCATTGTTCTCTGTTGCTGTCCTTTCTCTTTTGGCCAATGTCTAATCTTGACTGGAATATTCGTTGATTTTGTGCCAACTTCCATGAACTCCAACTTCTGATTACACAGTTTTCACCCCCTTGTGTATGTCTCCAGTAGCTGATGCTTGGTGCTCGTCCTGGTCACTTTCGTGGTTATTCCTTTCTCTCTTACCCCCCAGCAAATGCTGGGGCTCGTAACTACTGCTCTCTTGATTCGTTCTGACATTCCCTTCGTCCCCCTACTTTTTCAATCGCCTCTCCAGTGTTCTGCTGCCCGTGTCTTTGTGAGTAAATCGTATACATTTTGTTCCATTTATCTCCCCCCAAATGTCACACTTTCTCTTCCTAATCTTAAGCCACCTACTAGACTCCTTGCCAGAGCCTGTTCTGCTGTTGGGTGATTTCAACTGTCGACATGCCCTCTAGGGTGATGTTCTGACAAACACCCGAGGTTGCCTTCTAGAACTGTTTGTCCTCTCTTCTTCCCTGTCTTCTGAATTCTGGTGTACCCACTCCTGTGGACTCTCGCACTCGCATCCTTTCCTGTTTTGACCTTTCTCTCTGCTTATCGTCTCTTTACTTAGATTTCACATGGTGGGTTCTTGATGACCTCCATAACAGTGCCCATTTCCCCATTCTTATTAGATTTTTCTCTTTTCACCCACCCCTTTCCTTCCCTAGGTGGCAGTTTGTCAAGGCTGACTGGAACCTATTCACCCTCCGTGCTGCTCTCTTCCGACCTCTCTGCTCTGCCTCTCTCACGCCCTCCTCCTTTTTCATGACACCGTCTTCGATGCTGCCTTCCGCTCTATTCCTCGCTCTACTTCCCGGGGCACACGAAAATGCGTTCCCAGGTGGAATGCGGACTGTGCTCGGGCTGTCCGCTGTAAGCGTGCAGCCTGGAAGAAGTACCGACGCCGGCAGACGGCTGATTCTTTTATTTTGTTTCAGAAGGCAAGTGCAGTGGCCCATAGGCCATCCGTACAGCTAAACATGAGAGTTGGAGATCTCATGTTTCCACTATTACGTCCGATACTCCTCTGCTGCAGATCTGGAAGAAAATCTGTAAGATAGCGAGTAAGTTCATTCCAGATGTCCTTCACCTCCGTGGTACTCTTGTGGCGGACTCAGTGACGGTCGCGACTGAACTGGGTTCCCACTTTTTTACTGTTAGGTCTGGTTCTCATCTTCCTCAATCCTTCCTTTTTCGTAAGCCCGTCTTGAATCTCATCCCTTAGATTTCCACACTCATCTCCGCCTTCCCTATAACGATCCCTTCTCTCTCTTTGAACTTCAATCTGTCCTGGCTCTCTGCGGTTGTACGGCGGCGGGCTTGGATGAAATTCATTATGAGATGCTTCGCCCTCTTCCTCCTTGCACGTCTCGGTATTTACCGAGTCTGTATAACCAGGTCTGGGAGTCGTCGTTAGTCCCTGAGGACTGATTCAATGCCGTTGTACTCCCTAGTCCCTATTTGGAAACCGGGGTCTCTCGGGACATCCCCTAAAGATTTCCGCCCTATTGCCCTCACGAGTTGTGTCTGTAAACTTTTTGAGCGTATGGGTAATGTTCGTCTGATGTGGTTCTTGGAACAACATCACCACCTCTCTCCCTCTCAATTTGGTTTTCGCAAGTGCCGCAGCACGATTGATGTCCTGGTGAACTTGGAGGTCTATATTCGTACTGACTGCTTTTGCTGCGAAGACCTCCGTTGTTGCTGTCTTTTTTGGCCTGGAAAAGGCTTATGACACGACTTGGAGATACCATATTCTGTTTCAACTTCATTCTTTTGGCCTTCGTGGTAATCTCCTCTTCCTTAAAAGCTGTCTCTCTCGTCGTACCTTTCGAGACAGGCTTGGTACCACTCTCTCTGCCTCTTTTCGGCAGTATGAAGGTGTACCCCAAGGTAGTGTTCTGAGCACTGCCCTTTTCCTGGTTGCCCTCAATGATCTTCTTTCCTCCCTTCCTTCTGGCATCTTCTCTGCTCTTTATGTTGACGATCTTACTCTTTGCTGTCGAGGTGATGATTCACCTCTCCTTCAACAGCAGCTTCAACTTGCGATTGATGCCGTGTCATCTTGGGCTACCAATCATGGCTTCAAGTTCTCTACAACTAAGGCTTGTGCCATGACTTTTACTCGGAAGCGGGTCGTTCTTCGTCCCTCTTTGTCACTTTATGGTCATCCCCTTGAATACAAGGATTCC